ATTGACAAAACTACCAATCAAAAGGTTCTTTAATATGCTTCATATTTCTTAGAAGAAATAGCCAAGGGAGTTCTTTGGGAGAAAGATCACATAAATTCACTTTCTGAGTTGATCATGTTGGCATTTCTTCTCAAATTTGATGGAGAAGCCGTTGGTTTTTGAAGTTAAAGAATTTGCAAGTATTTTTGGAGGACAAGTTTCTTTCAATAGCTTAGGCATGGTGAGCACAGCTAATATTCGCTGTGAGTGAGCAGGCATGATGAGCATAACTAATATTTTAACTTTTTTGCATTTGGCCATTTTAATCTTCTTGCGCCCTCTTTTAATATTTATAATTAATTTTTTCCCTCAAGCATATGAAGTACGACTGGGTGAAGGATATGGTAGTTTGTAATATCATGCTTAGTTTGAAAAATTAGATTGTTCTCAAGGAGATTTCATCCTCACAAAGATGATTACTAAAAACTTTCAATAATATTTTAAAATTATGTTATCCAAAATCTTTTGGCTCCATGGTTTAGGAGGATAAGTATTTAAGGGACTAATATGATTTTTGGTTTCTGTCTCATATGTGATGTTAGAATTTACATTTTATATGCTATAATGCTTCTAGCATTTTAACATGATAATCCAATCATGTATGGTTCTTGATTTATTTCTAAAAATTATAATTAATCTTAGTTTTTCACTCCAATTTTTTATTAATCAAAAGAATATATTTTATCCATTTAGTAATAATTTGGCAGCTTTAGTATCTTCTCCACTGATGCAAAAAGAGACTGATGCAGATGCTTTGGTGGGGATTATAGAGATCAAGTCCTTTTTATGGTTAAAGGATTTAATTAATGATTGTAAATTCTCTTTATATGATTAAATTTGTAATTTTAAATTATGTATTAAACTAATAGTTATATAATGACATCATTTTTTTTGTATTAGTAAAACTTGATATGAATAGGTAGAAATACCTCTTATATTTTAAATTAATAAAATTTATTTAATTGATAAAAAAAATATCCTTTCCACTGCTTTTTTTTTTTTTTAAATCTAACGAATTTTCAACGATGAAAAATTAATAGCGTGCCTGACTGTAAAATTTAAAATTAATATTAACGTAACAGGTAACATCTTGTCACCTTCTATAAAAAATAAAAAAAAGGTACGACGATTACGTCACTAGTTCTGTACCTTTCCTGCCATTATTAACTTGTCCACTGCAAAATTGAATGAAGTTAAAGTTGCTTTTTATTTTTGGCCGACAAGTCTAAAGTAGCTTATTTTAGCAGCATTAATATTTTTTCCAGTGCAAAATTGAATAAAATCGGTATTAATGATTTTATCAAGCAACATTTCACATGTGGAAAAGAAAGAATATTATTTTATCTATTAATAATTAATTAATACTGCTTATTAAATTTTATTATAATTAAAGTTTAAAAATTAAAAAAATTA